GTTTGGTGGGGGGATCAAGATATGATAGTGATGATGTTCTCCATTCAATATTTCTCTCAATAATATGAATGCGGGTGTAATATAAGCCCGATGATAAAGCTTGTAATTTCTCCAAAACACATTTATTTCCCGCAATATTTGAGGTAATGCAAAGATATTCAACTCCCCCTTTATTCATTGTTTTAATGTGGTATCTATTCATCCGGATATCTTTAAAACTCAACAAGTTTCTTATTGATTTTGGGGAGAATAATGCATCATTCACTGTAAATTTTGTACCTCCCATCATAAAAAATATGGCATTGCCAGAACCCTCAATTATCTTTGCACTTCCGGATATGGTGTTTACTTTTGTTTTATTTAATTTCAAATTTACGAAATATTTTTTGTCCTTGAGTATAGTATGAGTTGTGGCGCAATCTGCAAGACATATATCACCATTTTAGATTCGAGACCGATCCATGATCTAAAAGAAAACAACATTTATTATTGATCAAATTTGAAATACTGATACAAGTAGTCCACACACAAATACAACAACACTTAAAAAGCAATAGAAAAAACATGATCATCAGTTATTCTCTTGATCATTTCCAACTCTGTCTTCAACTACCACATCGGCAAAATTCAGGTTCAATATGTCATCAATGCCATAGTCATCATCCACACTTGTTGAATCATTTCCAGAGGATTCCCCAACCATAAAGTTGGTTTCTATATTCTTATCTTTTGATTTCCGGGAATTGTTATAATTATCAACAACGTGTCTCGAAGCACGACAATTTCGTGCCCAATGTCCCGTCCTTCCACATCGATAACATGCCTTTTCATCATTATTCTCCGTCACATTATTCTATTCAACTTTTGGCTGGAAATTTCTCCCCCTTTAATAATTTTGGGCATAGTTACGGCCTCATCCACGATTATATCCTCGGCCCGAGTTATACCCTCGGTTAAACTTGTGGACTTTGTCAAATCGGCGATTTGGACCATATCCACGGCTACAGCCACGCCCCGAGGTATATCCACGCACATATGTTCGGCTGTTTTCAGTTCCGGTTCCCTGTCTAGATATTACAACATTTATTTCAG